TTTTGCGAATTATTTATTTCGATATTATCGATAATTTTCCGTTAAACTATATGTTTCAATACTTCAAAATTCGATATATCGCGTTTAATTTTATTATTGTTATTTTCCGTACTAGAGCGCCTGTGTAAAGATAATCTTCATGTAGATGTGCTAATGGATTAAGACCATAACACGAACAAAGTCTACCAACTTTGACGAAATATACACTTTCGTTAAATAGCTATTAGCTTGGTTTCAAAAAAGGAAAAACGCTATAGACGAGTACCTCGATTATCATATACCTGTTACTCAGCTAAAGGGACTAAAGGGAAAAGGAGATAAGCAAGCGGCAAACATATTAGTGAAAATTTTTTCGAGCATGGAAATTGTGGGCGCCACAGGCTTAGGCGGTTTGTGGGCGTTCGAGTGGGCGTGGCACCCTGCTGAAACAAACTTGCGCTGCAAGCGCTATCTCAGCGTTCATCCAGACGGACGGACATGGCTAGATCGACTCGGTTAGTGATCCTGATCAAGAATATATATACTTTATCGGGTCGGAAACGGTTCCTTCGAAGTCGAAAAATATCAGAATATCACAGCCTTCTCACAGGGTGGCTATGACGACACCTGGTTGCGTTTGAAGGCCAGGTACCAGAACGGAAAAATACTAGTATTCGCCGTCATAGCAAAAATTATTGACCATAAGCCTATAGAAGGCTCCTCGCGCCAACTAAGGGCCTTACATGACACTATAAAAAACTCAATGAGTACTCTTAAAAACCTCGATGTCAGCACAAAATCCTTGAATCCAATCCTGTGTTTTCTTATCAGAAGAAAACTAGACCTGCAGTCTCTAGCTGCTCTGGAAAATTTAGCGGATGCACCAACGGAAATTTCAACGTTAAGGAGTGTACTGACGTTTATTGAGCGGCGCGCTTGCATGCTGGAGACGATAAGCGCTCAACCTACAGCAAAACTCCGCCATCAGTCAGTTCACAACGAAGAGAGCTGTAAGATTTGTCACCTAGGACAACATCATCTTAGAGCATGTAGCCGTTTCCAGCAAATGGACCCCAAAGCACGGCGCCAAGCCATTATTCAAGTAGGAGCATGCACAAATTGCTGTCTACAGCTCATAAGGTTGAAAACTGTGGATCTCCGACCACTTGTCGAGTCTGCCAGCAACAGCATCATTCACCAAGGACCGACTAGCAATCCAGTGGCCGGCGCAGTAACCATTGCAGGCTACGACAACCCTAGAGGATATATATATATATATAGGCGGATATACCGCCAAGGTATCATTACAAGGGCCAACAGGTCACCTTCAAACATGTCGCGCTGTAATAGATTGTGGATCACAGGTGAATCTTATCTCAAGGAGGATGGCAGATCCACTATCTCTTAAGGAAATGTCACCGATTGAAATATCTGGAATCTGAGAAAAAATATCAACAGCAATCAGATCAAAACTAAAGCTCTCATCATGTACATCAGGGTTTGAAAAACTATTAGAGGTATTTATTATGCCCACAGTCATTACAGACCAACCATTAGTACCGATTACAACCGATCTAAATATTCCCGAGGGACTGCCGTTCGCAGATCCTGACTTTCGTCAGCCAGGACCCATTGACCTAACCTTAGGGGTTGAAGTATTTTCTCGTGTAACAACCGGTGAACTTCTTGAGAATCAACCGATACATATAATGGTTCATTGCAGTTGACTGAACTTTATACTGCAAGAGAAAAACCAATTAATATAGAACCGACTTTTCATCAATTTAAAAGCTACAAGTCTGACTTTTGTTCAACAGTTCTAAACTTAACCAAGAAATATCTTAGTTTTGTTGCAGAAGGTCCACATACCATAGACGTGCCAAATGATCAAGTTCTACGAGGGCACAATTTCAGTCCCCACGGTAATTTTATCGCAAAGGGGAGTGTTAAGCAGCATAAAGAAGATGTGAAGGACCTGAATCACAACCATGAAACGCCGCAGTTGAAGGAAAGATCCTCCTCAGTCAAGGATTTGTTAGCTGCTTTCTATACAATTCGGCCAAGGGCTGACCGACATTACGCCTTAATTGAGGGTACCCCTCAATGGGGGGAGAGAATGTTCGTACCCAAAGGTACTCAACATGATCAAACCCAACAAATCAAGCAGGAGCTAAGTTGGGAACAGTACCAGGCGCTCAGTAGCACTCACTGCAGGTGACAATTGCTGATCAGCATATTATATGTCTTACATACTCACAATAAATCAGTTATCAACACACCTCATAAGTCCGCGGTTCTACTACTTACATCTGGGAACAGGGCTCGTAATACAGCTCCAGCATCGCCTGTGGTCTGGCATCGCAGTAACCATCGTTACCATTGCCGCGACGCGATCGTCCTGCCATCATAGCGTCCCCGTGCCAGCGACAAGTGCTCATTACCCCCTTGTCCCGCGGTGTGACCCAGAAGTGTCTACTTTGGTTAGGCACAAACACTTTTAAAAGTAAATACAATGCACCCCAAAGACTCCAAACTTTTAGTAACTGTTTATATTTGTTAAAACAAAAATTGAAATACAAATCTGACTGGTTTAAAAAAATGTGGGATAATTTAAAAACTTTATTTTGCACTTTAAATCTATTTTAGATCTGTTTGGGGCCACCGGATCATAATGCGCGTCTACACTGAGAGAAAACACAGTTCTCAAAGTTTTCGACTTCAGTATTTTGGATCTTATAAGTGAGCCAAGAGATTAGTTTCAACATCGAATCGATCTCAATTTCGAAATTATCGTTCTCTCACAGAATAAAACAACAGAAATTCTAAAAATGTGACTTTAATTACGTTGTAGGTATGGAAGGGCTTTTATCAAATCGATCTCGCGGACGAGCAGGTCCTCCAAGTTTACGTCACTTTGTATTTCACATCAACTTAACCGCTCACTTTAAAAGAGGAGTTCGGTATTTCTCTCTTCTCACTCTCATCTTTTTTTACGTCTTCCCCTCAAGTCTCTCTTGGACAACCTCAAAATCAAGATTGCTTTTGACTCGGAATACAAAAATCGACTTCGCTGTCGTCTCGATATCGAGAAGACAAAGTGAGAAGATAAAATTCTTAAACTGAGAAGAACCGATCTCGGTTTATTTCGTTTTCAAATTTTCTAGGTGTCAAGTAAAAATTTGGCTGCACTAGCTCTCAATGCTAAGGCTGTATGCCGCTGGTATCCTTAATTTTTCTATTTTTTTCATATATCTTAAGATTTAAAACATTTGCTTCTTACAACATTTTTAAGGATATACAAAATATTTTGATGTGTTATTATCTAAAAATGGCAGTTACTTACATTTCGATAAGAATTTTCAAAAGTTCCAATAATTTAATGTGCATTTTGGGTAAAAAGCTTTCAAAATATGCATGATCAACTCGAAAGTTATTTGTTTGTTTGGAGTTTACTTTCAGTCCGTTGTGTATAAAATCCAAGATTTGATGTGAGTATATGTACTTTTTGAATACAAATTGTTCGCTAAAAATAGTTAAATTTTACTGAGAGAAAATAAAGTAAAAAAAAATAAAGCTGCACAGGATTCGAAGTAGCCGCTGCAACTTTTAAAACGACCGTTAAAATGTTTTTCTTACCTTAAAGCAATTTTTAAATATTCAATAAGATTAAAAACTCGTTGAAAAGACTGTGATACCCTTTCAGAAGGAAATTGTCTTGTTTTAAAAGGAAAAATTGCAAAGATATTTGCTTGAGAAGGGAAGTCTTTCCTTTCCTCAGTAATTACTAATTTTCTGTTGATGATATATTGAAGATTACTAAGTAATGATAGCTGGAAATCTTTCCATACTGTTTTATCACTAAAACTTTCTTTGCTACAATTACCGGGTACATTCTGTACCAAAAGCCAACATTTACCAGTTTGATGAACAACATCAACATTATTGTGGTCTAACAAAGATAGTAATACTTTTTCAATCAAAGATTTTTTACATTTTATTCCTTTTGGGTAATATTTTAGACATCCCTTTATTGTTTGTAAAGCAGCAAGCGTTCGGCGATCGTTTTCATATATTTCGTCCAATGATAAGCATTCAAGAACTTTATTTAAATAAGTAGATGCAAAAGCTTTTGATAAATTTCCGTCGGTCTGGATTCTATCTATTAGAAGAGCTGTAAAGTAAACAATTAAATGTTTTCATATATTAAAAATGTGTCAGTATTTATTATCAAAACTATAGTATATATCTAGTGCGTATAATATGATAAGCGGACTTCCGTTATCATTATTAATGTAATCGACATGATACAAATGCAGTAAATAGACCACGTGAAGATATAAATATTTGGCGTAAAGGGAAACGGATGAATACACTCTAATAGCCGTTACTCGTAGAGTAAAAGGGTATACAAGATTTGTCGGAAAGTATGTAACAGGTAGAAGGAAGCGTTTTTGACACTATGAAGTATATATATTTTTAATCACGACCACTCGCCATTCTACCCATGCCTGTCTGTCTATCTGTCCGTCCGTATATGTCGGGGAGTGTAAGAGAAAGTTGATTCTCAATTCTCACATGACGTCACGTCAAATTCCCAAATTGTAGTCGATTTCTCAAATCGTGCCGACAACGTATTTACAATATTATTATAAAGAATTCGCGTATTTGGTTTGTAAGATAATTTTTACTAAAAAGGTTGAGCAAAAATTAAAAACCTATTCAATTTATAACGGTTTCAGCAGTGCCAGATTAAAGATTTGTGGAAACAAAATCAGATATTTACCCTTCAGTTCCAAAAAAGTTTCCCTTGTGAATCACCTTGTCAATCCCGTAGGACATGTCCCACGTGAAATCACTTGTGAAATTCAAAATATTTCCAATGAGTTTTCACTCATGAAATCACTTGCAAGTGACTTGTCGATATGAAGTTACTTGTGAAATTCCGAATTTACCCCATGAGTTTTCACACATGAAAATATAGAATTTAAAATACATACATTTTTAATTACATTAAAATTCATTTTAATTAGATCGTGTTTAGATTTTCAATTAAGGGACAATTATTGTTAGTATTTCTGATTTTTTGATTTGTTAGTTTGTTTTTCACGTGCGTCATCGCCTTTCTCAAACACGTGTCGGGGTCCTCTCGGAGTCCTTGGCCAACGATTCTAAAAAAATGTATTGGCATATTATTAAAAAATGCGTTTTACTTGTTTATTTTTATATTTACCTTTTAGAGCTGTGTATAAACCCTTTGCGGGAATTTTTTTTGACACAAAACATTTTATCATCCAGTTTTGGCTAACAGAAGCCATCGAATACCTTCAAAATTTACGTACTTTAAACTAAGATCAATGCATAATATCTTAAACTTAACGTAGCACTTACCTGACTTTATTATATTTACTTAAAGAAACGATTGAAGTAACTCTGCTGCGCACAATTAAAATGGATGCTTCCCATTCAATCGCTCAAACAGAATGCACCAAGTCTTCTTCTCACCCCTTATTTGATTTCTTTTGTTTGCTCTTCGCTGTTGGCGCGTGCCACTGCACTTATACCCTTTCTAAAGCGAAAAATATCGCACTATATAATTTTTCTTCTTGAGTAAGAAATTCAATACGAATTTTTACAAATGTTAATATTAAAATGTTTTAAATGTTGAAATCAATTTTAACGGACTAAATTTCTATAACTTAACTAAAAAAGTATATTGTAATAAAAATGTATACATACGTGTATACATAACATTATAAGTAAATTCAATCTATTTAATTTTACTAAAATCAAATAATTTACTTTTTTATAACAATATTAGTTGTTTTTTTTCCAAATACAATAATGATCCTAAAATATTAGGATATTCACATGTCGCTGCTCCACGAAAATTTTTCCGCCGATATGTTAGGCGCTAGCCGAACATAACAGAGAGACGCAAAAGAAATCGGCCGAAATTTGTCTCTGGGAGCGCCGAGTGCAGGCAGATTATAAGACAAAGAAAGAGGGAACTTCCGAATATCTGCCTCTCTTTGTTGCACGATCGTTTTCGTAGGCAGTCTTCTACGCTGCGCCGACTTCTCTACGCACAAAAAAAAACAAGAAGTCTTTTTGCCTTGAGCCATGTCACCGCGTCCCTACTGCAGAACTGAAGGGTGTATACAAGTATTAACAATATCTTTCGCAAATTTATTGGTACTCTGTGTTTTTTTTCTTTTGCGCCTTATAAAAGTGACATTATCATATTTCCAACAGTACCTTGTATCGTGAAAAAAATTTTTGTAGTGTATGAAGAATTAATTTTTTGGTATTCGTTGACATTGTAATGACATTATTGTCTCTATTTTACAGTCGATAACTAAAAAACATTTATTTTGTTGAATTTTGTGAACCAGAACTGAAGAACTTATTGTGTACAGTTAAAAATGTATTTCATTATTGTACATTTTCAACTTTTCTTGAAGATACAAAAAATTATTTTTACATCTGGATAGAGTTTTAGTGTATATTTATCAGTTTGTCACTTTACCCTACAACTTTTAAAACTGAAAAAAATTTGGTTTACGCCTAGAGCTGTAGTACTTAACTGCGCTGGATTTTTACCACCAAACATTTACAGGAATATACTCAATAGAAGTCAGCCTTCCGGCTTTTAAACTTTTGAAAAATATTTTTTCTTTGAAAAATGTTCGATAAACGAATCGTTTGTCACTATACCCTATACTGCCTTATATATAAAAGCAATAAGTTGGGATTTGGCATGCAGATTCTAGAGGTTCTGAGACAGCGCAAGTTTATTTCAGCATGTTGCCACGCCCACTCTAACTCCCACACACACACATAACGGTAAGTCTTTGCAAGTCTAAAATCAATTTTGTTTTGATTATTAATATCTATATTAACGCCAAAAATTGTTCAAATCGGACCATCCATTAAAAAGTTATAAGCAAATATTGGAATCGGCGCTAGGTGGCGTAGTCACGGGATGTGCAATATTTGAAACACTCGCTTCGCTGCTTGCCTACATCCATTTCCCTCGCACTCCCCTTAGCTGAGTAACGGGTATCTGATAGCCGAAGCCGTGACTAAAGTCACGGTAAGTCACGGACAGTAATCAGATGCTCACAGACGTTCGAGATCCAGCAGTGCCTCAACCTTATCCCACTCTCATGTAGACCTGTTCGAGTGATTTTTAAAGAAGGTGTTAGTTAACCTTGTTACTTGACTGTAATCGATGGTCAAATTTTACCCTGCTTTATAGTTACTTAAGTTACTTCGTAACTATTGTACTTATAGTTACTTAACTTATTTCATGGGTCGAATCGAAATATTCTATCTGTCAATTTGGCAAAAGAGTTTTTTGTGTGCATTTATAAACACTGATGCAGAAATTTCCATGTTCTATCTCAGGGCCGCTCACTCGAAAAGCACGCGGATCAGATTTTAATTTTTAAAGTCACGAAGCATGGCTGTGGTTACATGCCTATGTTGCATTGAGCACACGCCAATACTTCATTGTGTCGCTATCAGTAACAGATAATACGAGGTAATCCAACAACAATTACGGTTATTACGGATTTGGAAACAAGGTACCAATAGACGGAACATTAAATCGAGTAGGATACCTTTATATCTTTAATAACCATGCATTTGCATCATCAAACAGAATGTTTCCTACATATGACTGGATCCTATAGCAAAACAATGCTGCTTGGCCCAAGGGACGAGTACCAACCGAGTTCCTGAAATGCCTAATTCAGGCTTTACTTCCGTGGCCCCCCAGAGCCCCGATCTCAACATCAATAAAAATGTATGGGCTTTCATTAAAATTCAGAACACGTTTGACAGGGATCGCCGGCGCAACGAGATTATATCCGAAATTCAGGAAGTTTGGCCCAAACTATTTCTTGAGATTGCGCACTACTTGGTCCTTTCCATACCAGCAAGGCTTTAAGCTGTTATTGATGCCAAAGGCGGAGTAACTCGTTATTAAGTGCCTTAATTATATAAATATAAAATTTTTGTTTAAGTTCAATATAAAAATAAAAAATAATTTAATAAAGATATGTGAAAATACTTTTGAAGCAAAAAAAAACGTGTCTAAATACTTTTGACACCTGATAAGCATTCGTTCATTCGGGTATATTTTGGTAACAAGAAGAGGTCTTTTTTATTTAATTATTTTCTTTTATTATTTTGTTTCATTTGGCTCTGCATAGCATAGACTTTGTAAAAGCAAAAGCTTTTTTGCACTTTACTTCTCCCCACTTGCTGCACAACCTGCTGTTTCGGACGCATGCACTAAAATGCAAATGAAAATACTTTTGACCACCTCTGTAGATATCCATAAGGCAATTCAGCTTTTTCTTACTAACACAGCATATAACGCATCCTATCTTCTTCTATAGCGCCACTTGGCCTACAACTAGCCTATAGCGCCACTTGGCCTACAACTAGCCTATAGCGCCACTTGGCCTACAACTAGCCTACAGCGCCACTTGGCCTACAACTAGCCTATACGCCCCTATCGGCTTGGTGGCGTGTTAGTGAAAATTGCTAATTTGCTGCAATGTGTGTGGTGTGCAATCTCGATTGAATTTCAAAATATTGAATATTATTTGGTTATAACTTTTTAATGACTGGTCCGATTTCAATAATCTTTGGAATCGAGCTATTTTGGCATGTGGGCGCTAGACGAGTTTTAGTGTTATAGTCGTTTGTGGGCGTTTGCAGTTAGAGTGAGCGCGGCACCCTGCTGAAACAAACTTGCGCTGCGCAGGAAGCCCAAGAATCTGCATGCCAATTCCCAACACTCTAGCTCTTACAGTTTCCGAGATCTCAGCGCTCATACGACTCGGCTAGTGATCAAGAATATTTACACTTTATGGGATCGGAAACGCTTCCTTCTACCAGTTACGTACTTCCAGACAAATCAGTACACCGTTTTAATATACGGGTAAAAATACAGAAGCCGTTATTTTTCGTTTTCGGTAAAACAGATACAGATTTTAGATTTTGAAAAATTTTTAAAGATCTGTATATACATTGCTCCCATAAGAACGACCTGTAAGAGTAATCTTGTACTTGCTGTAGTAAGCTTATTTTCCTATTATGAATGAGAAATGTTTTCTTTCTCTGTGTTGATCTTGAAGCAAAAAAAAAAACGGCGTTGTTTCGTGTGTGCATATGTTATCTTTTATTTGTTTTGGTAAGAGCACTGCAGTAAGTCAAGTTTGAGCAAGTGAATTGTTTCCCGATTATTTTCTTCCTTCTTTTTTATAAAAGACGGGACAAAAAGCCACACTGTTTTTGCAAGTTAGCTACCAACATTCTATGTGCATTGCATCTCGCACCTAATTTGCCAATTGGAAGAAAAACATGGAAAACATTGTTCGGCATACGGAATGTGCGGCAACATTTTTAGTGTGGATTTTCGAAGTAGATTTTCGATCTTTCTAGTGTGCGTTGTCCGTATAAGATTCTTTTATTGTGTTTTTGTATAATTTCGTGTACTCTAAAAATAGAAGAAAGAAAAAAAAAAAGCCACAAGAAGAGAAATACACTTTCGCGAAGTGCCCACCCTACCATGATCCTGTTGTCCACTTGTTCATCCTAAGGATCCCTGGGAGTGACTACTGCCCTACCCTGGCACTCCAACTTCCTGGATAAGGAAACTTTTAGTTATGCATCATATTTAATTTTTGTTCAAAAAAAAAAATTAATTCTTTCTCCTAAGTTGACCCACTTTATTGCTTTTATTTCTTATTTTCTTTTTCTTAAACTTATTAGCTATAATTTCATAATTCAGGATAGTTATAATTATTTATTAAACAGATTTAATTCAGTGTATTTAAATACAAAACAATTCATGTATAGCCACTGTTTACTTTGAGATAATTTTTCTCACTGACTTTCCTTCCATAACAAATTAATTTAATATTTCCATCCATTCGTTTTCCTTTTTTTTTATATATTTAGTTAAAGGCATTAAGAAATTAAATGTTGCTGAAAATAATCGGGGCTTGGTGACATATTCAAAAGATTTTTTCCAGTGTATAAATATACGTATGTACTTTTTAAGGGGATGTCGTGGTGGGTGTAGTAATAAATCGCATTTTTTTTTATGTTTTTAAACAGCAAGTTCAAACATTTTATATGATGGACGTTGATGCACTACGAGCAGTACAAACAAGTGGCCCAACGACACCAAGCACGTGCTTGTTACGAGCGGGGCCCTTTTATCAATTTGGGGCAAAAAATACGAGTTCGCGAGGAAGATACAAAAAACAAATAGAGACGGGACACAAATGAAAATAAAAGAAGCATCTAAGAATGAAGCAAATGAGTTAAAATATTAGTTTTTAATACCGGGATAGAAGTTGAAGTACAAATTAAGTGATAAAGGTTGTTATAATTATTACATAGAACGCGAAAGGGCTCGTGCAGACAAAAATTAGATGTACATCGTGGCAAATTTAGGGGATAATAATTTCGTGTTAGTCTAACAGGAACATTGAAAGTTAGGCGGACAAGGGAGGTAAATAATAATTTGGTTGTATAAGGGTCATCAAAT